CCCCGGGGGGTCCAGCTGGTCCCGCGGCTCGGTTCCGTCCTCTGGGTCTGCGAGTGGTTCAGCTGGCGGTCCAGGCCAGGCCTTAGTAGCCCGGGCAGGGAGTCCCTGGCCGGCCTCTGGGAAGGTGGCTGAGGGCGGCCTAGCCCGGGTCTTAGTCTCCCCAGGCAGGAGCTCCAGCCAGGCCTCTGGCTCCTTCAGAGGCTGGGCCCTGACTGAGCTCTGTGGCAGCCTTCTTATAGTCCTAGCCCCGCCCTTTGACTTCCGGTCAGGTGAGGGGGCGGAGCTAGGCTGGCCCCAAAATGGCTCCCAGAGGGTTTCTTCTGCTTCCGGCTCAGAGGGTGGCCATTCCACCCCTCTACAGGGCCCCTTGGCTTTGTCGGGTGTATAACGTCCCTTTGGACGATGGTTTGCCCACACCCTGAGTCTAGTCCATCCACCTTCTGTTAACTCTTATTTTCCACATTACCTGGGCGCAGCTCATCCCGCCCCGGGTTGCCCTCTCGGTCCGTCATTGGCCAAACGTGCAGTCCATGAAGGGGCAGTCCTTTTTAAAGTGCCCCTCCTGCCGCACTGGTAGCAGGCCCCTCTCTGGGTCCCTTCCTCTTGCAGACTGCGTTCTGGGCCATATTCTTGCTCCCTTGCAGTTCCAGCTCCGCTCGCCGGTCTACTCCACTGGGGTGCCAACTTCCTCTCAGGGATAGGGCCTAACGGTGGCTTTCACCCGTATCCTGGGCGAGGGGTAGTTGCGGCTTTCGGGGCGGAAGATTCCATCTTCTTAGTGTCTCTCGGGCCGCTGGCTGACCCCTTCCCTTCTACCCTCTCTGCCGTGATGAAATGCTCCATCAAAGTTACGGCCTCTTCCAGTGTTTCCGGGAGGTGTTGCTATACTCACTGCTGGCCTTCGACCGACAGGATCCTCACATATTGCTCTAGGATGACCAGGTCGGCCACCTGGACCCCCGTCTTGTTTTCCAGTTCCAGCCATCTCATCCCCGCTTCCCTGACGCATTGAGCCACAACTCGTGGACACTCTTGCGGATCGTAGCGGGCTTCCTAGAACCTTCGATGATGAGTCTCAGGTGTGCCGAGTTAGTCAAGGATTGCCTCTTTGACTTTGTAATAACATAAGGCATCATGGGCCGACATGCCTCTATAGGCCAGCTGGGCCGGTCCAGAGAGGTAGGGGGCCAGAAGCATTGCCCAGTGTTCCTGTGGCCATTTGGCAGCTGTGGCCACTCTCTCAAACATAATCAGGAAGGCCTCTGGGTCGTCCTCTGATCCTAGCTTGGTTAGGCGTATCAGCAGTTGTGATCCTACGGCTCCTACCCCCTCTCCCGCTATGGGGCTTCCGACTCCTCCGGTGGTTACCCCGGTTGGGGCTTCTCTGAGTTCTCTGAGCATCTGACCTTGCTGTTCTTGAAACTGGGTCAAGATTTGTTGCAGCGCCTGCATCTGCTGTTGCTGCTGCTGTTTCTGGTTTTCTACCAGCCACTCCAGGATCTTATTTACCTCCATTTTCCCTAGTGATAAGTCTATTATTAATCCCTAATGTACCTCCTTGTCTCATTACTGACCCCTATCTCGGGGTCAGGGATGTGCCCACATTCTCCACCACATGTTAGTGTTCTCCTTGTGGGGTTCGAGTCTTCCCCACTCTCATCTGTCCCCAAACACCAGTTTACCCCTTTGCGCCCAGTAGCAATAGCGCAGTTTATTTTTATTTTGTATTATGCGGGTCACCCCGGATGGGTGCCTACTCGTACAAGGCCAGTTTAGCTTCCGGGGTGCCAGGAAAGGGGGTTTGGGCCCTTGTGACGGACCGGGCCGTGTCTGGGCACAGCTGAGGGCGTCCGCTCAGGGCGAATTGCTCAAATCCGGGGCTCCTTACAGCCCCCAGACTGGTGACCTCTCCAAACAGGCCACAAACCAGTCCCAGAGCGCTTCAGCAGCCTGCCTGAAGCCTCATGAGCAAAACCCCACCTCCCTAGGAAATAGTTTTTCCTAATATCCAACCTAGACCTCTCTGACTGTAACTTGAGACCATTGCTCCTTGTTCTATCATCTGTCACCACTGAGAACAGCCTCTCTCCATCCTCTTTGGAATCTCCCTTCAGGAAGTTGAAGGCGGCTATCAAATCCCCCTCACTCTTCTCTTTTGCAGACTAAACAAACCCAAATCCCTCAGTCTCTCCTCAGAGGTCATGTGCTCCAGGCCCCTAATCATTTTGGTCGCCCTCCGCTAGCATGTTATTTCAAAATTTGTTACTGTGTAGATGCACCAAATTTCAAAATAAGTTAGTTTGAAATAGATTTGAAATAATATACACAATTTGCCTAACACAAATTGCACATCTTATTTTGAGTGTTGTGTAGATGCACCCTTACTGTGCCTCCTGCTTTCAGCTGACAATGTTAGAGTAAAAGTCTTGTCAGTGAGAGATTTAGAATATTCGATTTTCAAAATGCTACTTTCCTGCCCCCCCCCTTCGTCTCACCTGCTCCCATTTTAAATGTCTCTAAGCCCTTCTACTAAAAGCCTTTTCTATCTAAAATGTGAAGAAAAGAATCAAAGATTATTTTCAGGTACTAGATAAACAGATATTTATTTCCATTTTCTGCTTCTTGTGGCTATATCCTTGGGGCAAAGACAGCAGAGTTTGGTACCTTTCATATGTGCGTTTCCCATTGTTGTTATCTGTAATGGTGGCTTTTGCATTGGTAATCCTCCTTCACAGAAAGCAATTGATAAGCCAGTTTGGATTTGCCTCAGTTTAGGTGTATTTTCATTTTTTCCCCACCATAATTCTATTGCTGAATTCTTTATTTTTGGAAATCTTTCATTACTCTCATTCAAATTACCCTTGCACCTTTTCTCTTCTCCCCCAAATGAATAGCTAGAAGCAAGGCAATAACACATTGGCATTTTAATTCACTTACTAAATGCATATACAGAGAATTTTAAAATGAAATGAGTAAGACATCAGCCTTTTACCATTTTTCTAGTGCCTACTGACTGATGTATAAGCTAAATTATTTACAGTTTGATGTCTCACAAAAGAGAAGCAGATTTGGGTTATTTACTTCTCTGATAAAAAAAATAACAGATTGAAGTTTCTGTGATATGTTCCTTTGTTAATTTCATATTTGTTCCCTGATATAGAAAGTATTTTTAAAGAACTAATGCAAGTCCTGGCAGGCTCTTTTGAAATGGTATGAAGTTGTAAGATTAAACAAAACATGAAAAGGTCTTAAAAATATGTCAGCAAGAGTTTGATAAAAATAAGTGCTCAGCAGTTGAAAACCTCTAGGATGCTTAATTTGTTTGCTCTCCATTTGGAAGTAGTCCTTGCCAGTTATGTGTTTTGAATTATTGCAAGCTGGGCATTTTGAAAGTGTGTGTTTGTACAGTATAATGAAAGTAATTGAAAATAACCATACTGAAGATCTCCTTCTAATGAGGAGATTAAGACGCATTATGAGGTTGAAGAGTGAAATTTGCAGCTGTGTCATTTGATGAAATCCTTTACTGGAATGTTTCAGTCACTGCTGTTTGTGAAAGTACAGTGTTTTTACAAGATTTTTTTTTCTTTCTGCCCTTTGTAGATGCCATCAACATGTCTGACACCACAGCTCCTGTTATTGTTGTGCCTCCACGCAACACCAGCGTGGTAGCAGGGAATAATGAAATCACATTGGAATGTGTGGCCAATGCAAGGTATTGTAAATATAGTAGTCATAATAATAAGGAACCGCCCTCTGCTAAAAATGGAGTGAGAACCTCTTTTTTTTATTTATTTCATTGTTGTATACTACATTCTGCTTATTACAAATAGCTTTCCTAAAATGATAAGGAACCCATATTACTTTTTTTAACAAATAGATTATTTCTGGGAAAATACGGAGCTGAACATAATTACTTTCCCACTTCTACTTATGCTGCTACAGAGTAAAAAAGGAGAAGGCAGAAATGTGACATTTGGCCATCAGCAAACACATTGTATCAGGAGTCCATACCATTACTGCTTAACCTTATTACTATTATGTTGGCTGTTGGAATGCAAGATGACTACACTTCCCATTAACTAAATTATGGTGGGGATCCTCCTATTTGCCTCACCCCACATAAATAAAATGGCCAAGGCAGAATACTGTGATTACCTGTTACAGCTCTTCTCAGTTTACAGTTATTACAATTAACTTTTTGTGCACCCCATAATGCAGAGTGTGCATTAGGAATCTCACCAAATGCTAGAAATTGCACCTATTAAAGCTTATGGGGAATTTTGCCATTAAAGATATTGGGAGTAGGTTTGAATCCGAAAAGATTCAGAAATTTGGGGCTTTTGGATAAGAGGTCCAGCTGATTTCTTTTCACCCTGAAGTCAGAGATGTTCTTCATTCAGTTGCTGCCACCTCTATAACTGTTTGAAGGAAAGCGCCTTCCATGCAGCTGAGTCTTGCGTACTATTCATTTTTAATGTTGCTTGCTCAGACAAACCAAAACATTAGCGCTTAAATTCTATTGCTGTAATAATTAGCCATGTTTGTTCAGTACCTTTGATGTGTACCTACGTCTAGACTACATGCCTCTGGCGACAGAGGCATGTAGATTAGACTACCAGGCATAGGAAAATGAAGCGGCGGCGATTTAAATAATCGCCGCTTCATTTAAATTTACATGGCTGCCGCGCTGAGCCGATCAGCTGTTTGTCAGCTCAGCGCGGTAGTCTGGACGCGCGGGGGTCGACATCAAAGGCAAACAGCTGATCGGCTCAGCGCGGCAGCCATGTAAATTTAAATGAAGCGGCGATTATTTAAATTGCCACCGCTTCATTTTCCTATGCCTGGTAGTCTAATCTACATTCCTCTGTCGCCAGAGGCATGTAGTCTAGACGTACCCTTTAGTGTGTGACTGTTAAGATCCCAGTGTTGCATCTGGATTTATTTTTAAGCGTCTAATACTCAGTCTGCCAGCGATATTGGAAGAGTTAGGTGAGTTATATTCTTTGTATATTACAGCATATAGCAAACATCATGAATGTTGTGGTGGTGTTGGTTTTTTTTTTTATTCTCACAGACCCATTGAGAAACTAAGCATAACTTGGAAGAGAAATGGATTAAAAATAAGCAGTGGAGTTAACAGTTTTGGGAGGCGTCTCACTATCACCAACCCAACCTCTGCTGACATTGGAATGTACTTCTGTGAGGCAGAGATGAAAGATGGCACTGCTGAGCCAGCAAGAGCAAAGGCCTTCCTCTCCATAATGGGTAATTTTGAATGCAGTCTCTTTTATAGTAAAGCAGGTTTTAGACTCTGTATAATAGGAAATAGAATTGATACTTTAACATTTTGTCAACCTTACAGCTGAACCTCTCCCTTCTTGAATGGGACAAACAAGACAAAGTGGGGGTTTTCTTCCAAATTAATTCTGAGTTTCGTCTCCATGAATAGAATTAATTTAAACATAGGTTTTTAAGCATTTATGTGACTCTACTACCCTATGAAACTTAGGTTTAATTGTGAAGCTTGGGAAACCCGGTAGTAAAATCCTTATAATCCAGCTTCCACATCTCAGCTCTTAGCTACATTAAATCCTGATTAACTCCCACCTTGTTTGCTTCTAGCTTTAATATGTCATGTTGCTGATTCTGCAAGAGAGCTTTTTTTATATTGCCTTTTGTGAATGCCAGTCATGGGGTGAAGTGAAAGAAGAAAGTTGAACTTCAATGTTAGCAGCAATGTCTCCAGGGCTTAATTTGTAATGAAAGAGGTGCTGGGGCTACAGCAGGTTTTTTTACATAACGATACAGGAAGCCCAGTGGTGTGTAGGCAAGGAAGCCCAAGAAGTGTTAAACACTCAACCCTGGCAAGTCTTGGCACAAATTAAGCACTGCATGTCTCTGACTGCTTGTCTCTGGGCTCTGACATTTAAAGTGCATTGTTACATATGGGATACACTTTTAAACTATAGCAGCTTACTAAATGCCCGTGAATTTAGCATGGATTTTTTAATGTTTTCTTTCCAATTATTGCTAATTAGCAACATATGTATGTGTAAATTAAGCTTTTTGCCCATGTGGCCTGTGACTAATTAATCATGGCTTAATCTTTGACACTTCCCTAGGTGTTAAATTTCGACTGACTCCAGTGGGGATGCTGCTTATCACACAGGAGGGCCTAAATACCTTGGAGGATCAGGCCCTCAACAATGTCAATAATCCATCTCTTTGGGAGATATTGTGAAGGCTCATGCACTAAACCTATGGCTTTATTGAATGGATCAGGCAGGAGCAATCTGGTTTCAATTCAGAGAAAACAGAGATTGTACAAATCAAGGTGTAGGGATGCTTGCAGGGGAAACAACTGGAGAACTGCACAGTTGCATCCTCTGGCTTCATAAGAGATTGCAAATCACAGTAAAATACTGGTGGTGTGTTGATACTTTCAGTGTGGAGCCTTTCTAAATATTTGTGACTAAATGGGAGTCTCTCCTAGCATCAGTTGTTTTATGCTGAGCACTTTGAATGCTTTACCAAGCTTGGTGGGAAATCTTAAAAGGAAAAGAAAAGAGAAGCTTCTGAATTACAAGCCACTGCTGACTTCAGACTCTGGATCTAATTTCTTTCTTCCAGATACCAGGACAAATGACTGCCATATAAGTATCCTAAATAGGTAGATTATTGCTTTGTTAATGATATCTTGGCTGTTGATGATACTCAGAACTGATACATATAGTACTTGTTGCACATTATAGATACAACAGAAAATGTTATATTGTAAGACTTAGCATATAGGTTCCATTCTGTAAAAGCACTTTAAGGTACTTTATGTAAGATGAGCAATAGCTCCTTTCTATAGCAAGATGT